AGATCCGGTTTTAGAGCTACAATTTCCGACGCCGTTGTGCGTAGTTCTATTGTGTTTTGCAACTCAGTCTCTGCAGATCGCATTGTAATGGCTGCGTCAAGGTTGCTTGGTGCCGCGGCTGCATGCGCAATACTATTGTCTTTTGCAACTGGACTTCGTAAATCGTATTGGAGTAGGTGCATCAAGGGTTCGACAGTGATTAGTAGTAGTGCTGGGAATTGATGAATGAAAGCTTAATAGATGACATATGAGAAGGGACGAAATGAGAAGAGATGAGCTGGGATAAGGTGAGAAGAGCTCAGATGAGATGAACTGTGGAGTGTGAAGAGTGTAGTGTGAAATGTGGGGCGTGAAGAGTGCAGTGTGAAGTGTGAAGTGTGAAGTTTGGAGTGTGAAGGAAGCAGTGAGAAGTGAGAAGTGTGGACTGTGAAGTGTGGAGTGTGAAGTTTGGAGTGCAAAGGGTGCAGTGTGAAGTGTGGAGTGTGAAGAGTGCAGTGTGAAGTGTACAGTGTGAAGGAAGCAGTGGGAAGTGAGAAGTGTGAAGTGTGGAGTGTGAAGTTTAAGTTTGGAGTGCGAAGAGTGAGTGTGCAGTGTGAAGTGTGAGGTTTGGAGTGTGAAGGCAGCAGTGAGAAGTGAGAAGTGTGAAGTGTGGACTGTGAAGTGTGGAGTGTGAAGTGCGAAGTGAGAAGTGTGAAGTTTGGAGTGTGAAGGAAGCAGTGAGAAGTGAGAAGTGTGAAGTGAGAAGTGTGAAGTGTGGACTGTGCAGTGTGGAGTGCGAAGAGCGCAGTGTGAAGTGTGAAGTGTGAGGTTTGGAGTGGGAAGGAAGCAGTGAGAAGTGAGAAGTGTGAAGTGTGGACTGTGAAGTGTGGAGTGTGAAGTGCGAAGTGAGAAGTGTGAAGTTTGGAGTGTGAAGGAAGCAGTGAGAAGTGAGAAGTGTGAAGTGTGAAGTGTGAAGTGTGGACTGTGCAGTGTGGAGTGCGAAGAGCGCAGTGTGAAGTGTGAAGTGTGAAGTGTGAGGTTTGGAGTGTGAAGGAAGCAGTGAGAAGTGTGAAGTGTGGACTGTGAAGTGTGAAGTGTGAGGGAAGTGTGGAGTGTGAAGTGCGAAGTGAGAAGTGGGAAGTTTGGAGTGTGAAGGAAGCAGTGAGAAGTGAGAAGTGTGAAGTGAGAAGTGTGAAGTGTGGACTGGGAAGTGTGGAGTGCGAAGAGCGCAGCGTGAAGTGTGAAGTGTGAGGTTTGGAGTGTGAAGGAAGCAGTGAGAAGTGTGAAGTGTGGACTGTGAAGTGTGAAGTGCGAAGTGAGAAGTGTGAAGTGTGAAGTTTGGAGTGTGAAGGAAGCAGTGAGAAGTGAGAAGTGTGAAGTGTGGACTGTGAAGCGGGAAGTGTGAAGTGTGGAGTGTGAAGTGCGAAGTGTGAAGTTTGGAGTGTGAAGTTTGGAGTGTGAAGGAAGCAGTGAGAAGTGAGAAGTGTGAAGTGTGGACTGTGAAGTGTGAAGTGTGAAGTGTGGACTGTGAAGTGTGAAGTGTGCAGTGTGAAGTGTGAAGTGTGAGGTTTGGAGTGTGAAGGAGGCAGTGAGAAGTGAGAAGTGTGGAGTGTGAAGTGTGGAGTGTGAAGTTTGAAGTTTGGAGTGCGAAGAGTGCAGTGTGCAGTGTGAGGGGTGGAGTGTCGAGGGAAGGACACGGTCGGGACAGGGTGTCTTTGAACTATAGGTCATTTATGTTTGGGAAACTTCCGCCGCCGGCTTGCCCGGGTCTATGTTACACAGCTTGAGTATCTCTATGTATCTCTATGTATCTCTGTTTCACAGCTGCTGCCAACCAACGAGTTCATTTGTTTCACAGCCATGGCTTCGCTGTCTCTGTCTCCTGCATCCAACCAGGCACCTCTGACGCAGTCTTGTCTTGTTTCCTCGCATCCCTCAAGGATCGTACAATGTCCTGCACCCCAGGCCATACACGGCAAAGTTTACTGATGTACCTGACACCTAGCTATCGCTATCAGCATCTATCAGCTATAAATTATACAGCCTGTCCTACCTGGACCTCGACGTTCACTGTGCACCTCTGAAATGTGTGTTTCTTTAAGTTTCATCTCTCTTTGTCCTGCAGGGCTGGTTCAACCCTCGTTACAAAGGACGTGGCCACACCCTTGTTGCCGATACGACCTCACGAGCGTGGCGGGAATCGGAAGGGAATCGGAAAGTCTTTTCCGAAAGCGTCACAAAAGCATCACTCCTGAGTCACTTCTCCCTCGACTTCATTGCATTATATTTACTCCACCGTCTTCCTTGCTCAGGTGAAGTGCTGTACGCAGGTGTGAGGCAACATGTGACCCATGTTCCCCAACCTGTTCGACCAACGCGGTGCACGTAGTCTTCTCCGTTCCTGAGCTGAAAGGGTAATCTCTGCTAGGTGAACAAGAAAAGTTTCATTTCGATCTGGTAAAGATCGACGAGTATTGAAAATGAACTCAATCTTTGAAAAAGAAACAAACAGCTACAGATTCTTTGCAGCGTGCTAGAAGCTGCATACGCCTCTGAGCATTGTTTGATTTATGTCTATGACTTTTTATGGCATTTTATCGACATTTTCTGTTTGTTTTATGACATTTTATGATGATATGACATGATATGACCATGCTCCGAGCGTTCCAAGCGTCAAGGGAAGGTCGTAGTTGATCACATGGTCAATGCCAGGCAAATCCAAGCCACGTGCAGCCACATCTGTGGCCACCAAGACCTGTGTTTTTATGTGAAAGATCTTGGAAAACATGAGAAACACATGAGAAAAAATGGAAAAAACATGAGAAAAGCAACAAGATCAACAAGAGCACGATAGAGCACGGCTGTCAGCGTCCGAAAAGCTGTCGAAATGTGTTGAAATGTGTTCAAATGAGCGTTCAGCCGCTGCTAATGCTCCAGCAGGGGATCCAAAGAACATCACCAGTATTTCGACACTCCACACTACGCTTTACGCTTTTACACTCCAACAGTGAGATGCCATGGCAAGGGGAAACAAACTTGGAGTTTGATCTCAGGTACTGTGCGTCCTCTACCTATATTGTTTTCTCTGCAGCTGTGGGGCAGTTCTACAGTACATTCGAAATTTGAAATATTTGAATGATGCTCAATTGATGCTCAATTGGACTCAATCTGATGCTTTCTGGGTGGTACTGGGTGGTACTGGGTGTCAGCACATGAGCACGGCCAGTCTTCAGATCGCGCAGGGCACGATCTCGCTGGCTCTGGCTCACGCCTCACGACACACACATAGCGGACACGAGCACAGCGGCTTCATGGTGCGCGCAACGAAAATCCAGAATCCGCTCAACACTTCAACACAATAGGCTGTCAATACGCGTCCTCTTGGCTTCGGATTTCGCCACTTCAACCCTGATCTTTCAATCTTCCCAATCTTCCCAATCTTGCCATTTCCCGCCTCCATGCATACTGGTACAACGGATGCGGCTGTTCTGCAGCTGATACGTGACGTCATCAACCTGGAGGCACCAAGTATGCACAGCAAACAAGCAGCAAAGTGTGTCAAAGTTTGTACAGCAACCACACAGCAACACGGCAACCATACCGCAACATGTTGCACTGGGATTTTTGTTGGGATCATTGTGGACAATGTGCAGTTGCTCCGATGGAGTCTTGTCGACGCATCAAAACACCCCAACAATTCATCGCAGTGTGCCTCCAGTCTGCCACAGAGCACAATTTACCACACGAAATCAAGAAAAATCAGAATCAAGTGCATCAAACACTCTGAAACAGTCTCAAACAACATCAGCCCGTGTTTCTTTGTCAAGGTGCCATGCCCTTGGAGTTGGCGAAGACGATGGTCTTCGCTGGACCATTCTGACCTTTCACCTGAGCTTGGCACAGCTCGGCACAGCTCAGCACGGCTCAGCACGGCTCAGCACGGCTCAACACGGCTCAGCACGGCTCTCGCCTGTTTCAACGTCTGGAGGAGCTGATCAAACTTGTCGCCGTAGCTCAAGTCCCTGAGCGTTCAACATCTCGCCATGCTCTCACCATGCTTCACGACTCCGCACATATGTGGAATACATTGCAGATTGCGAGAAAGTCATCATCTGCTTTGACCCTTTGACTCACTCTACCCTCAGCTGCATCTGGATTCGGTTTGCACATTCTGTGCCAATGCTGTCACAGCCGTCACGTCACAGCCAAATTCAAAGCTTCGGCACTCAAAACGCTGCTCCACGCTGCTCGTCGTACTACCCACTCGGCCTGAACCAAATCACCGCAAGAATCAAGAATCAAAATATCAAAATCATCGTTTTGTAGTCATCTTGTTTTCCTCAATTAGACCAGCCTACAAACTCGCCCTGGCTAGGACCGAAGCACAAAGCACAGCTGCACCCTTTGTCCTCTTTCGTCCTCTTGCGTCCTCTTTCGTCCTCTTTCGTCCTCTTTCACTTTGTCACGTGTTGTCACGTCGTGCCTACTGAGATGCTGTAGTACTTTGGATCGAGGAAGTCCATCGCCAAGGTTTGGATTTCTTTGGGAAAAGTGGCCGAAAACATCCTCACAAGGGGTCAAGCCATGTCAAGCCATGTCAAGCCATGTCAAGCCATGTCAAGCCATGTCAAGCCATGTCAAGCCGGTCAAGCGCACAGAAATCTCAATCATCTCTGGGGGTCGGCAAAAACACAGTCGACTCTAAACAGATCTTGAGATTGACCGGTGAACAATTTTGATGTGTTTTTGATCAAATTTGATCAATACATTCAATCTTGGGTAGCTAGTAGCACATTGGGTTTTCCGGCGATCAAGCATGTCCCAAAAGACCACATGTACCAGCTGCAACCAGCTGCAACCAAGGCACATTGTCTGTCGACCTTTCCCAGCCTGAGGCATCCCATGGTTCTCGATGATCTCACGAATCTGTGGCTCAAAACCTGCCGACTTTCAGAGTGTTAGACCGTGGACCCAGTACTTTGCTGAAAATTCAGAACACTAGTACTTTGTGGTTATAAATGGTTATAAGTTATAGGCAGTTATAGGTCAGGCAATTGGACATGAAAGGCCTCGACTTGTTGGCACAGTGGCTACAGTTTTTGAATGTTTTTTGTATGGAGGATTGAAGTGACTGAAACCACACCGGACTCCAGTCTGCGGCCAAAACTGCGCACAATCTCAGACAGAATCCCTGCATCTGTATCCCTGGTAACGGTGAATTCGTTTGTCAAGTAAGGTAGTGATGGTACTGCCCTCAATGCTGTACCTCAAAAAGCAATACAGATAATACAGTACCGGTAATGCATTTGTTGTTGGAAACTGAGTTTTGCTCTAACGTACGACAGGATCCCTCCGAATCTACGGCTGTTGTGTGCCACCTTTGACTTTACGGAATGCTGCAGACTGCTGGTCACGGGAACGGTAGTCTAGTAGTGGAGCTGAAGACAAGCTGAAGACAAGCAGACAAGGCGCCCATGTCCAGCATGCGGTCAGCTTCGTCGAGCGCCAAAAATTTCACCTCCAAAGGATGCGCTGCGGCCCGCTGCCCCTTGATGCCCCTTGTGACTTCACTGACTTCACTTTGGGCTCAGGATGCAACTGCACAAGGCTACCTAAATATGTCATTTTGCAAGTACGAAGCATGGGGCCTATTTTCTTTCCTGCATTGTGTTTATTCGGAGAGAAAGTCTATGTAGTGGATGAGTGTCGCACAAGAAGCGGCATCAAGATTCTTCCTTAAGCGTAAGAGTCGTAAGAGTCAAGAGGCTGGATCTCCAAAGTAGCTCAGGTAAGTTGCTACATGGGACATTTCTGTCCAGAAAGGGCTGTGGTGAAAATGCATGCAACAAGCAGAGCTTGGCCTCTTCCATGCTCATTACGCCACGTTGCAGGAAATCCTGCACAACGCCGATTGGTACACCAATCCAACATCCAAACATCCCATGTCGCTTCGAAGCTTTAAATACCAGAGAGCTGCCTGGTAATCTTTTGTGGCTAGGATCAGCAATAGCTGGATTTGCAAATCATTCCAAGATATTCCAAGTATTTTCGGTCCAAAGGTTCACATTCGCGAATTGTCTGAAAACAAAGTAGTGCCAAATAATTCTATCGATGTCTTCATATCAGCCCCTATGTGTTTCCATCTGAATTTCTACCACACCTCAAGTCGGCCAGGAGTACCTCACATGTTCTGAGCGCATCTCCAAAGTTGAGTAGAAAATCACTGCAAAACGAGGGCATCCAAGCAGAAAACTCCGGATTTCTGACACATGTTGGAGTGCACTTTTCTGACATATTCAGAAGGGAATCAAAGAGAGCAGATATGTAGTATGATAGATTACGTGGATTCAGAGAGACGACCAAACCGTTCAATCGACAAGTCAGCAAGGAAAGTCAGCTTTGTTTTCGATTTACTCAACGATTTCCTCACCTGACCAGGTCTGACCAGGTGCAAACCACAATCTCGATGCCCCCTGCAAACTTTCGCAGCTGTGGAATGGCATCTGCTCCACCATAGATAGCACAGACACGTGCACCAGAGCGGAAGGTCAACCTGGCCGCACAGCGAAGATCTCCCAGCTCCCAGCTGCTCCCAGCTCTCACCGGAGCTTTGCTGTTGAGGCAGTTGAGCTATGCTATGGGATAGATTTGAAATGAATAGTGTTATATTATGTTATATAATTAGTCATATATAGTGTCAGATAATGTCATATTCTGAGTGTTTTATAATTGAGAATTTCAACCGCCGGTCCCCGATCCAATCGCCTTTCAGCTTCGACCGTAATCTGCTGGCAGAGCTCACGTGTGGGCGACAAGACGACGCTGGTGGGACACACTGCACCCTCCTGTGACAATTTTCTGATCCTTATGTGGTCCTTATGTGGTGGCTATGTGTCACACGTGTCACATGTGTCACAGCACATTCCAATCCTTTTCAGACAAATTCCCACTGACTTAGGAAACATATGACTTTGAGATGTTTTTGATCATTTTTTAATCATTTTTTTGAGACATGTTTGATCTTCACCTTTTCGACCTGATGGCCACTAGCCACTGTTGTCAGGTTTCGTCCTGAGGGGGCTTGCGTCCAGCTTTCAGAGCTGCGGTGATGATCGGGACCAAAAATGCCGCTGTTTTGCCGCCTGGTTTGATCTTTGATCCAAAGACTGGAATGCATTTATGACATTTATGTACCGAATGTCACAGAGTTTAGGAAAGGTCCCAAGACTCAGGTGTTCATTCAAACACTAAAGATGGTGCAACAGTTTCAAAGAATGGCCTGACTTACACATGATGCACTCCTGATCTTATTGAAGTCTCACTGAAGTCCGAGGTCGGCACTTCCCGTCTGGGCAGTGACAAGCACATCACTTCCATCCAGCACTGCAGGAATGCTGTGCCTTGGGCGGATTGGACGAAGACTTGGAGAGGGGTGCTTTGACATCGACCATCGACACATTTTGAGTCACCATATGCGACATGACGTGGACACGCCCTTGACTTGAACATATTTGAACCAAACACCAAAACGTTTTCAAGTCAAAACAAGAAAGAAAGGACTTTCTCACATTTAAGACCTAATGCAGACCAACATTTGACTCGGCATGTTTCGCTTTTACTTGGCCAAGATTCTTCTGCACAGGAGTTGGAACGTTGTAGTTGCAACGATCGATGTTGGCAGTTAGCTCATCGGGTAAAGAAAAGCGGTCACATGCCTGGCAGATGCCGGCAAAAGAGGCATAGGCTTCAGCATAGACGATATCTATAGATGATATCTATCGGTATTCGAATTTCATCTCGAATCTTGTCTTGTATAATCTTGTCTAACCATGTCTAACCTGACTTATCCGTCCAAACTGATCGATCCAATCTGTCTCCACCACAGCCACCTATCTTTATGTACCTCTCCCCCTCTATCCCTCTATCCATCTATCTCTCTATCTCTCTATCTCTCTCTCTCTCTATCTCTCTCGCTCTCTCTCTCTTTATTTATATATATATATAGCTAGATAGTCAGTTACCAATCTGTCTGCCTGTTTGTCCATCCATTTATCCCTCTATCTATCTACCTGTGTATTCAAATGTATTAGGTCAGATAAGATCAAATAAAATAAGATTCATTTTTGTTTGCATTTGCTTCGATTAAATTGGATATGATATGCATGGATACTTTTACGTAGATTGCATATGTATATGTACGTACATTAATCATTCTCTTGCAGACTTCGCCTCACTAATCCATGACGGTTTCAGCCCCAGTTCTCCTCATCGAACTCACCCAAAAAGTATGTCCAAAAAGTCACCAGAACGCTGACGAACTCTCGCTTCAGACTTAATGGTTAACCGCCATAGGCCGCAAGTTGCACCAGATTGGAAATTCTGGGTTTTGCACTGTTTGGTGACAGAAAGGTTTTACGGTTTACCGTCGGCATTTCTCAGGTCTGCAGTTCAAACCAAAACAATCAGAAGGAGATGCCACGATGCTTGAATGAGATATTTGGGTCAGAAGAAAGAAGTTTCACACGAAAAGGGGAAGGGGACGAGAAACCTTGCTTTGCATGTCACTTTCTTGCCATCAACTGAATGCAAAACACAGCGAAAGTCTTTAATTGAGCATTGAAAAGTCTGAAGAGTTGTTCCTCCCATGAAGCTCTCAGGAGCATCTTTGATACGCAAATTTACCAGAAAAGTCACTGAATAAGCGAATTTCTGTAACAGTTCGCACCTGGACGCAGCTTGGAGCAATTTTATTTCGAAAAACAGAACTGGTTTCTACATTTCAGTTGACAGACTAAAGGGGGTTCATTAACAAGAGGACAGGCAGAGAAAAGATGAGAAAAAGTGAGAACAGCTGAATAAATCCATCGACTCAAACAAAAAAACGATAAAAACTAGGCCAGATTGCCACTGAGCTGAGAAAATGCTGAGTTCCAAAAGTTTCAGCTCAAGTTGTGAAACGTCTCAATGCTAGGAAGGTTATGGCTAGTTTAGCGGCTAGTTATGGTCCGCTATGGCCGCTATGGCCATCGCTACCGGGTTCCCACGGTGTGCCTCCTGAAACGTCTCAATCGGAGTCTCCTCCCTCGATCCTCCATGGGTCTTTACCTGGCAGCGTCGCATCTGAGATGTGAACGGATTAAACATATTAAACTACCCCAGCACTTAAATTGAACTCCTTGAAATAAAGGATTGTTGTAGCATTTGGAAGCAGCAATTTGGAGGAAGAATCACTCTGAAACTCTTTTTTTTTTATATATATATATATATTTATTCGTTGAACCACTTTCAAGCAAATACTGAATGTCAAGCGCTGCATTGACTCTTGTTTTCATCTGGGGATCGTCGCTCAGCCTTCTTGGCTGTGGGTCGGCCATTGAACTGCTATGTTGATCCAGTTGGTGGTAGTAGGGGTGGATGGAGGGTAAATCGCAAAAAAGAACGGTGGCAAACCCGCCCTCCCTCCTCTTGGACCGAAAGTTGACAGACCAGGCGCTCTGTCTTCAACTTCATAAAGCTTTGTGACATGTCACTGCAGCTTATTCGTTGAACCACTTTCAAGCAAATACTGAATGTCAAGCGCTGCATTGACTCTTGTTTTCATCTGGGGATCGTCGCTCAGCCTTCTCCCCCAACTCAAAAATCTGTGCGACGATTTCAAGTAGTTTTTCCTTCGCCAGAGAAGAAGAGTCAGTTGCATTTGCCAGTAAGGGAACATTTGTTATGCCTCTGGAGGGCGGGTCGGCCACGTTGCTGCTCGAAGGCACTCTTGCGATCCAAATCATGGAGTGAATGTTGCATTCCAGGGTAGCGAAGCACTCAGCCATTGCGTCAACGCAAGGGTTGTCAGAGAGACCTTTAAGCAGTGAAAATTTCGTACCTTCGTTGTCCACAAACAGCACAACTCTTTTGTTTCCAAATTCAGCTTGCCACAAGTCAGCAGCCAACAAAGCTGCCAGGGTTTCCACCTCAAAAATAATCTGCTTCTTGATACCCTCACCAAACAATTTGCGCATCTCCTTATCAACCGCTAGTGAAAAATATTTCACCTGTCCTCCAGCAAACATGACCCCCCCAAGACCACAAGGCCAGGAAGGATGCCCCACTTCATAGCAAGCGTCTGTGAACACCAACACATTCTCAGAACATAAAGCCCGAACTTCTCTAGGAACATTTGCTTCCATGAGATTGCGAAACATCTGTAAAAAGAACTTGTCTTTGTCGGTGAGCGCAGATCTTTTACCTTCTGCGAAGTCAGCAAGTACACGCAAGCATCTTTTGCCGGTACGGCCAAACAATTGGGATTCCGCAAATTGCATCCTGCCACGCATCCGTTGCGTCTGTTTGTTAGTCAGGCGACCTTCCTTCACAACTTTCAGCAGTTCTTCACATAGTTCTGTGCGCCTTGACTCTGTATTGCACACTAAGGCTTTGCCTGACGATGCTGAGCCAAGGTCGAAGACAACACCAAGGGCGGAACAATGCAAGTCAAAGGGCTGTGCTTTCTCACCTTCTTCAGCAAAGATCCATCCCAAGAGCCTGAACAGTGCAGTAACCGCCTGCTCAGTACTTCCAACCAGTTTCGGCCGGCTAAATGAAATAAAATCGTCATAGAATGACGTCCAAATGAAACAGCATCCTGTAACACCCAGCCACCACAATGCCCTTGCAAGTCGCAGAAAAGAGTGTACACTACGCACTGCTCCAAACGGTAAAACAAGGCTTTGAAAGAAACTAGCCCTTTTGCTCCGTGGGTTAAAGACCCGGAGGTAAGCAAATTGCTGACCCTTTGTGCTCAAACCAACTTGTCTGTAGGCGCTCGCCAGATCGAACGTACGCACAGCTAAATCGCTATCAACATTGGCTTCCTTGCATGCACTGAACCAAACCATCAAGAGTGCGCAAGCCACATCTACCGTGCGCAACATGGGAGACTCTGAAACAGTCACGCAAGCATTCACCCCTGACTCAGAGTAGTCATCAATCAATCTAACTTTGTCATGGCGTTGGCGCAAACCGAACCTTCGAGAAAGTGGGCGGTCAGCTGGCACCATGCCCTCACTTAAAGGGCCCACTAACCACCCTCTGTCTACCTCCTCCAGGGTTTTTCTCCAAACAGTCTCATCAATCTCCATGTCACCAGAGCTCCTTACTTCCCGCACTGCGGCATCCCTCATTCTCTCTGCGTTGGCACAGAGCTCGTTTTCGGAGATCAGCGCTGGCTCAAACTTCTTGGGGAGCATATTTGTAACGGGCACCTCACCTGTAAGATCTGAGCCACATCTAAGTTCATCCACAACGCCAAGATCAGGATAACCTGTTGATTTCAACATCTCTTCAAAAAGTAGAATTCTTTTTCCGCTAACCGCATTTGCCACATCATGTTGCATGTTTTTCTTGAGGTTTTTCTCATCACTCTCCAACTGCAAAGCCCTACGGGTCCAATGAGAAAAGAACTCAGCTCTCACTCTTGCAACGGTGGCTTCGTCATTCTCAATAGTGAAGTGGAGCGCATCAAGCAACTGCTGTGGCACCGCCGAGTCCAAAGAGAGTGGGTGCTTTGCTTTCATAGCTTGTTCAACAAACTCTTGCTCACTCCAAAAAACTCCACAGAGCTTCAACTCCAAAACGCACGGAAAATTGCAAATGGTGGGTTCAAAATCAACCCGCACATCTATATTCCAAACTCGACATTGGTCAATGATGTTGTTGCACAAGGACTGCAAGTTTTCACCCCCCATTTGAACTTTTTGCAGGACTTTTGAACATTGTAAAAATTCATTGTGGTGTGGCCATTTGCATGAGTCACCATGAAAAAGCGCAATGCATTTGCTTTTGAACTCAGGTATCAGTGGTGCAACTTTATTGCTGGCTGGCTGATTTTGGGCAAGGGTACGCGCAGCTAAGTTGATAGGGACCTGTACAGCAACGGCAAGTCCACGTTTCTGCAATGCAAGTAGAAATGTTGCAGCGATTTTGTCACAAAGCGCAGCGGGATAATGAACTTCCAGAGTGGTTGCATATAGTCGTTTGCCGTTTTTAAATTGATATCCCCATGCATCATGTTTGTGTTTGCCATCGCAAACTGCATTTATTTGCTCAACTTCTGAGAAATTTGCCAGCAATTTCGTCCACTTTGGACGTGATGAACCATATGCACAAGCTTGATGACATTGTGCACAGTCAGTGTCCTGGTGTTGTCGTTCCATCCATGGGGTGGTGTCCCGGTAGAGTGAGTCACGTGGGTTTTCACACATGCATAATTTGCCAAGCTCGCAGCATAAATCAAAAACTGTTGCAGAAAAATCATATAGGACATTGCTCTGTTGCACACGCAAGAAGTCCAGGTTTTGTAAACCTGGCAGACCGTCAGGAACTTCTTTTGTTCTCAGAGGCTGCGGTAAAAATGGGTCATCTTCTCTTTGTATGTTACGAGCTGCACTGGCAGTACCGCAAGGTGGGGCCATGAAGACAGCTTTAATCTGTGGGTTTCGAATCCAGCTGAGCACCAAAAGTTGATTTGAGACAAGCGTCAGGTCAAGTTTTGTAACAAGCGCCTTAGGCGCCTTGGGTTTGTTCTTGTCCACTGCAACAATGTCGAGTCCAAGTCGTTTCAACGAAGCACTCAAGCCTGCAGTTCCACAAAAAAGTTCCAGGACCACAACGTGTTCACTGGATGTCAAAAAATCAGGTTTGGCATCCGCTAGCCTTGTTTGGGCTAGTCACTCCTTGTTGGCTTCATCAGCATGTCCTTCTTTGTAAGGATGGGCTTTGAAACATCCAGCCTTGAAGCAAACGTGTCGCCCCTTGGCGCATGCAGCACCAACAGGGGCTTTGGTGCACTGACTAAGATTAAAGTCAAAGCATATTGGCCTGTTCTTGCCATCTCTCCCGCATCCTGGATAGCCTTTTGGTGCAGCATTGGAGCCAAAACTTTTGCTGCCTTTGCCCTTGCTTTTGCCACGTCCTTTATAGGTGTTCTGTGTAGGATATGGCTCTGGGAAATTGCGCTTGGGCGCATTATGTTCACTTGCATGTGCTTTGGGCAGAGGCAAAAGATGGAAGGCTGTGTTGTAGTCCTTCAGTGCATCTTCCAATGCGTTGTCAAGTGGTCGGACATCTGCAGCATCAGGCCTAATGTCTTGTACATTGTGTGCAAGGTATGTGAACACTTCCTTGTCCGCCCGCATGACTTGTGCCAATGTGACAGCCTGGAATGAAGGCGGTGGTTCCAGCGACAAATGACGTAGCAATTTCTCCACATACAATTCATGTGATCGAAAGCTGATCAGGTTTGCAAAGTCATATGCAATTCCACGTCTGCGCATTGTACGTGGTTGATACTGTTTCGTCCGGAACCGATTTGGATTCCTTGATACTCAAACTACCAGCATCCAACTTGAGTTTCTTGTCGGTACGACCTGATGTAATTTCATTTTCCCGACTTGTACATCTTGCAGGTTCAAGATATTTGAGCACTCTGGTTTCAAATTGATGTGCGCACTCATCCAAAAGTGAATGCGAAGGTTCACCCACACCAATGATATTCAGCCCTTGCAACCTCAACCTTATCTGCTCCATCCTGGCTGTCTTTTCAGCAAATGGTATGGCTTTCGGCGTGGAAGAGTCGGGAGTTTCTACTGTTGACCTGATTGTTGATGTCATGATCACTTCACACTCATAGTGGAGTCGCCTTACCGCTGCTGCTGCACCCATAGTCAAAGGGACATTGTTGTTCACTCCTTGCGCCCAGGTATCAAATTCACGCTCGTTGAACTCTGCACCGGGTCTAAACACCGCAAAGGCTAGGTGTCCAACAGTTGTTATGCCCTCGCGTCTGAGCGCCTGCAAAAAATTTGCTGGCACACCGTACTCATTGGCTCGCGCTTCAAAGTGCGCTTCACTGTCCACAATACCTGCCATCTTGAACCGGAAACTGACGGTCATTTACATTGATCATTGCATCACATGCGTTCACACAAACTGAACCAAAAACCACAATGCAACAAAGAGACATGCAAATGCCACAAAAATTTTTAACACATGAGCATCGTTCCCAATCCAGATGTTCCACAACATCCCAGGTTTTCAAACATGAAAAATTGCAAACAAATGTCTCCGTGGGAAGAATTGACAAATCAATCAAACATCTGAACATGCACATGGCTGGACATACCAGCTTCATCAAGGTTGCGCAAACAACCTAACAGCGGCGCAAGCCGCTTCTTTTTGTCGCAGTGGGCAACCACTGGATCACAGAGTGTTTGCAAAACACTGCCCGCATCGCAGCCCAGTCAGCTGGTGCACAGGGAAGTATGGTGGTCCAATGACCCTTCCGCACTTGAACGACTTTTCATTTCGTCGTTCGTGGATCACCAAGGTGCTGCCATTGATATACCACTTCAACGTGGATGGCACGGCAGATTGAGCAGCTTTGTCAGGTTCACCAGCCTGTTCCAAGCTCACCTCCACGTCACTGTCACTGTCAGACTCACTGCAAGAGTTGCTGGAGTCGCTGTCCCAATCTTTCAAAAGGTCAGGAGGATCAGGTGCCTGCGACTCAACATCAACCACCTCATCAGTGGGCCAGTCAACTCTCTGCCGTGACTTTGGTGTCTCAGGCAGTGGACTTTCTGGAGACGGAGCCACGCTGGCCACATCTTGCTGCCCATCCACCATTGCAACCTCCAGGTTCTCGGTTTGCATAGACGGCATTGGGGTCGACGGCATCGGCATCATCGGTCCTGGAGCCCTTGGCGCAGGAACCGGAGTGATCATTCCAGATCGGGACTTGTCCGGAAAGAAAGCCTGCTGTCGAATAGCGTCAAGGACCTTGACCAAACTCCGAAGTGCAGCTGTCACCAAATCCCTGGAGTACAATGCAGTAGGTCCCTGCGCAGCAGTGCTATGACGCGCAAGCACTGCACGATGCTCAGGAGAAACATCATGTTTGGCGCACCATGAAATGCATGTAGCTTTGCATGAGTGAGTAGAGATCCTTCTGCCCTCCAAAGGAATGCCGCCATCCATGAAAAGCCGCTTCATGAAGGAGTTCATCTCCTGTGAGGTCAAGAACCTCTTTTGCCAACCTGTTCCACCTTTTTCCGGAGCTGGTAACATAGGTTCAGGTTCTTTGCCAGGTAAGGCCAGCCCCGATTTCCTCCTCAGAGCAAGGTATTCGGCAGCCCAGCAATCTTCAGTGATACCATTGGCAGGTGCCACCACTGGCAATAGCATCGCCTTGGTGGCTGCAGTCCTCGAACCCTTGTGCACCGCCGCATCGAGCTCCAGGAACATGTTCTCGTCATCCAGCATGCAGTTGACTGAGGCCAGCAAGTCTGAAAAACGAGCTCTAGCATACACCATATGCAATAAATGTCCAATGAAGACCCGATCCACCATGCAGCGTCGATTGTCCATCATCGCTTTGTGCAAAAATTGCACATCTGCTACTGTCAAAGGATCCGCTGGTTTCCAAGGTCGTTTGCAGGCAAAGAGCTGTGCTGCAAGCCCTCTCACCCGCAAGCTACCAAGAGCTTCCTCGCAGCCATCCACGCGGAAGACAAAGAAGCAGAATCTCAAAGCCTCCAAAAATGATGTAGCTCGCGTGGCTGGGGCTTTTTCGGCCTTCAGGTTTTTGAAGTAGTCCCATACTACTCTCTCATCTACTGGCAACCAGGATTTGCCAAATTGGCGCATCACCCAAGTGTTATACGTCTTCACCGCATAAAACCTTTTCATGACTGTATTGGGGCTTTTCACACCCAATGATGCGTCTAGGATCTCAATCCCATTTTTGTATATGTCTGCCAGGCCCTTTTCCCGCAATGCGATCCTGCCTGGATCACTGCACTGCATATCTAGTCTGAGAAGGTCCCACCAATACCTGACTGCCAGCTCGCGTTTGGCATCACGTTCCTCAATGTAGGACCCTCCGATGACTTGTTTGACAACGCTGGTGTACAAGGCATCATCAGTGCGGGTAGGTTTCACTCCAATGGATGCAGCACATTGCAAACCCTCACCAACTTGAACATGCACCTTGACAAAACTGCTGCTACTTGCATGTAGTCGAGGCATCTTGGTTTCCAGTCTGCCTTTGTCACCAAAAATCCGAGCCATGCGTCCTTTCTCCCAAGGATACAGAACAGGCTTTTTATCTGTTAGCCTGATCGCTTCAGAAATAATGGTGTCTGGTGCGGTTTTGCCCACATGTGAAAAGGAGCCCAACTGTGCTGAAGAATCTGTACCGGCCTCCACAAAACTAACACCTCTGTCTGCATTGCCACTGTCAGCTGCGGGTTCAAAAAGGGATTGATGGGCCCCACTCGCAAAAGCATCATCTGAGTGAGGTCCAAACAAAAGCTCCATTGCATTTGCCTGTTGCTGGCCTTCCAACTGGTCCACTCCGCCTGAAGATTGACCCAAAAACTCATCAAGCAGTGACTCCACGCCATCTAGATTGACGGGCAGGTTGGAAGGTGTGTCATCCAGGCTTTCAGTACCACTCCTGTACTGGCTCTGCCACCTTCTTCTCATTTGTGGACCTAGGCTTGTCTCCCTGACCGGGCGTTGCTGCGGCCTTTGCTGCAGGGATGTCTGTGATGGCGTCCCACGACTGCCCCACGCCTGCTGCTCTTGCTGCAGCTCTGGACTGCAACTCGTCCGCAATCGTTTTGATGCTCTGAAGGAGAGCTGAATCAGAATATGCAGCCCAATGAATGCCCGGTGGAGAAGAAACAGACCTATCTCCCATGGCTAAATCGCAAAAAAGAACGGTGGCAAACCCGCCCTCCCTCCTCTTGGACCGAAAGTTGACAAACCAGGCGCTCTGTCTTCAACTTCATAAAGCTTTGTGACATGTCACTGCAGCATATCTGTCATGTCCAGGGGATTTGCAGCAGTTTGAAGCTCAAGTCTGTCATTTGCACTATAGTTGATCTTGCTTTGTTCATTTCCCATTTTTTGTTTAGTCCTTCCTACTTCTTCCTACTTCTTCCTACTTCTTCCTACTTCGTCTCCTTCTTGGTGTTGGCACTGTGGGAGTGGGGCTCTCTGCTCTCCGTCTTGGCGACGTGAAGTGTGCAGATCTTGTGCTGCCTCACCTCGGTGCGCCACACGCTGCCACACGCTGCACACGCTGCACACGCTACACACGCTGCCACACGCTGCACACGCTGCACACGCTGCACACGCTGCACACGCTGCATCTGTTCTTGTATTGTGTCTGTATTGTCTGTGCGTAGTCTGTGCGTTGTCTGTGCGCAGTCTGTGCGTAGTCTGTATTCATTTTGGTGTCTTTTTCCTTTTCCCTTGATTTCTACATATGCTTAGCATATGCTTTATGTTTTTCTTGTTATTGGTCTGTGGTTTTGATTGTTTGTTCTTGGACGCCATAGCCATCGCTTGGTTTTTCGGTTGTCGCTTCGTTCTCTCATTTTTGTGTCAATTGTTGGTTGGTTTTGTTGCCAAGGGAAGAAAGAGGCTAAAGAAGAGGCTCTCCGTGGATCCCAACTGCAGGACCTCGATGTCGTCGTATTTCTTGAAGTCAATACCAGCCGAAACATGCGCTTGCTTGAACAACCTGGCGGTCAACTTGAGCGATCTCCGGAAACGGTTTGAAACGGTTTGAAACCCCATGCATTTCAACGAGACCAGGAAATCAAGGGCTGTTCTCGGACAGAATTCACTGCGAATCACATTGGTTAAAGTCAGGCAAAAGTCATCTCAAAAGCATCTCAAAGGCAACGTCTGTACTTCAAAGTTCAATCCCTTTGATCTTCCATGAACAATGATGAACAATGTAAGTATTCACATTCCAGTCCACTAAGTAAGGTGTTCCAAATTTCCACGCATTCGTCTCCTCAAGTGTCTTGTTTTAAGGCGGCCCTGTAGTGTCAACTGCTGTGCACACCTTGATTCCTCAGCCACCCAGTGATCGTTGGACACAGGCATCTCGCCTTCGAAAGCATTTCCGAAGGGAATGCGAATGGATATCAGATATGAACAGAATTTGAAGAAATGGAACCACTTGTGACACCATGGTGACCATAGGCATCTATTTGTCTGCGGCACTCCCACAACATTGCCTTGCACTCAGAGGTTTGATGAAATTACATAACATCAGAAGTATCCATCCAAGAGCCCAAGACCCAGGGTTCATTCAAGCAAAAAGCAATTAAAACAGCTGCCTTTGCTTTCAACAAAGAAATGCGCTTGCAAGATCTTGCAAGAACGTCAGACGTGGAAAAGTACTTCGATAAATGGACAAATAGCATTGATAGCATGGGTGCAAATTTCAGCGTTCTCAAAATTTGGATCTTGAGCGGACCAACGAGGACCCGGAGGACCCTGATAGATGGCACTTGTTTCAGCTGATGAATTGCTTTCGTGACAACATGTGGCAACATGTGCAGCAAACGAGCCTCTTTGAACAATTCGTCGTTGGAATTGAAAGAATTGATCAGCCTCGACTTTGTGACACTGTGCACATGAGCGGTCATGAGACTCAGAAAGGAATCCTATTGAGCAGTCTGGAGGGTAGACAGCTGTGAGACCAAAACATCCAAAACTTCTGCGGAACTCCGACGGCTCTGCACAAAAAAATCATCTCCCGTCCCGGCCTCACGTGAGCGCTTTACTTCTGTTGCTCGTTCTATGTCGTTTCTACTCCTGTAGCCACCGCCACCATTGAATCCCCCATTGAATCCACCTCCGTAGCCACCTCCACCCTGACACAGCAGGATGAATTCAGCATTTCAGCAACAAACTGACGACTGTATGGCTGTAAGCCTTGCAGCCGCAGGGTTTACGTGCAAAACAGTGCTGTGGTGCTGTGTATCTACCTGCAGAAGAAAAAAAACACGAAAGTTCGTGGTTTTTTCGAGGTGAGACATGACACCCGGAGGGTATCTGTTTACTGTTGTTTTAGTGTTGTTTTAATGTTGTTTTGGTGGATTTTGTCTTCATACTCTGTTTCGCATAAGTCTCCCCGCCTTGTATCCACCTTTGCCGCCTTTGCCCATTCCCTGGCGGAATGTTCCATGAAAAAAGTAATTTTTCCCTCGTTGCGCCACTGTTTTCTGAAACAATGTGGATCACAAGTACACTTGCGACTGATCTTTACATTGCATCGTATAACGGTGATGCTATGATAATGTGTCTCTAATGTTGCATGTAAGTGTGCCAATTGTTTTTATTGTCCGCACTGACTAAGGCAATGCAAACTGTGTCGTCAACTGTTCAAATGCCTGTCTCATCTCTTCGTGCCACAAAAAAAACAAACGTTGTCTGAACATTTTTGGATCAAGGACGAACTGACATCCGCTGCAGCCTTGCCGTAGGCCCGCAATGCACAGGCACCACCCAACGCCATCCCAGCGCATAGTTTCCAAATGCCATCTCCTCTGGCCTCCTCGTGCAGTCTTCAGTGAGTCTTCAGCATGTTTCAGCAATTTAAATTTCACCTGTTTGTTTTAACCTTAACCAGGTTCTTAACCTACAAAACGCAAGGGGATTCACAATGCAACTTGAATATAAACTAAACTAACATCACATTAAAAGACATCGACAGAGGTCACACAAACCTTTTTCAAAACATGTGGAAGTTCCAACGCAGTCTATGTTTTTTTACCCGCGCAACTGGTTCAAATCGAATTTGGTTCTGGCTCCTTCGCGGGGAATCCTCCAATGCCTTTGCCTTTGACGGCAGCAATGTTTCGGCCTCAGTCTTGAAATGTTTCGCAAGAAGTTCCAAGATTTGTCAGGATTGCATTCTGTCAATTATATTTGAACATAACAAGTGTTGTGACCAACCACTTGCCAAGCATGTTCATGTCCATACTTGCCACACACTTCCCATCTCAAATCCAAATGTTCTGTTTCTGAGAATCTTGCCGGACAGCGAAACGAGTTGTTCGGGTGCCAAAAAGCAGGGGACTGTAGAGACAGCCATCGGAAAATCGAAACAGGTTTCTACAAATGCCCTACTAATCTGACCTGGAGCACAAATGCTACTCCAAAACTGCCAAAGGCATTCCACAAAAACGAAACAAAGGTTTCACACAACGCTATTGTGCAACACTATTTGCGTGCGTGCGGCAACAAAAAAAATCCGTTGAGATCTCGTGAACACCGTTTTCCTGTTAAGAAACTGGATTTGCCCACCAAGCAGGCCAAGCATCGTTCACTTGCAAAACTTATTGGATGATATCCTCGTGAAGGGCCAAAAACATTCCCATCGCAAAAGAGTGAGGGCCAAAAATTTTCAACACCATACAAAACCCCATGACCAGTGAATTTTTTTGCAACGGATATGGCCGCTAAATGAAATGAAAACAAAAAAGGTCACAAATACACAACAAAAAAACATTTCGGAACGCACAGAACAACGGTTTGCAATGAACTATTGTTTCACATTCAGTCCCCTGCGAAATTCCGTTGCGCTATCGGTATTCACTTTTGGCATAAAATCACGGTAAAAAAAAAACATGAATTCGAAAATGGACCGGGAAATGGACGGCGAAGTCAAACTTGAAATTTTCGTTTGAAGTACATGCGGTGGTATTCCCACAAAAAAATATTGGGCGCCATTGCAAATTGCGTGATTCACAGTTTTCGAAATCATGCCAGATAAGACTAGGCGACAGTGTGGCCCGAAAGGAAACCACGAAACCAATATCAAATGTCCTTTCCAAAGACAAGTCACACACACGGAAGTTTCCTTCCAAAAAATATCTATGGTTAACGACTGGCGTGATGTTGGTGATGATAACTTGGTGATGGTAACGATGGTGATGTGATGGTGATATTGATGATGAAAATGGTTATGATCAAAAAACATTACATACATTTTCTTACACAAAACAAGACATTTACATACAAACAGGTTTGCACAAAAATTTGATCTACACAACGGTTTTTACACACAACACTGTCACAACACCCTTTATTGTCACGCGCGCAAAATATTTTTGACACACAAATTTTTACAAACAAAAATCTCTACACACAAAAGCTGCTGAACACATCTTTTCAAACGATACCTACTTTACACATCGGCCTTTTTACACACCGGCGTCTTTTACACACACAAATTTTAGACGCAGGTGCCTTCACACTCAAAATTTTCTACGCGCCTGAAAATTCACTGTTTAAAACAGATGGGCCAGCTATTTTACCTCCAGGTTTGAGCCACGTATGTGGCAGTCACAGCATCTTCACCTCAGGTATCACACCGATAAGAACAAATATTGCAGATGCTGACATGTAGGCGGATGGACGTGTTCAAATTTCACACCCCGCCTTGACAGTAGCTGTCTAAGGTTTCTGTCACTATCTTTACGAACATGTCAGCCACCCACCGCAAGTCACAGATCTGACCGTCCTTTCTGTTCTATCGGTGGATTTTCAAATTATTTGCCTGTCATATCATTACACCTTTGGCGCGTTTTCTTAATTCATTTCGTCATTTGGACACACGGCCCTTCAAAAGTTGTTGTAAGCGAAGTAACCATTCCACATGCACTGATTTCCGCGTGCCAAGCCCGATCACCGTCATCTCTACAGCGATATAGTTTGGTCACATAAGTGTCTGAAAACGTTCCAGTCGTGTGATTTCCAAAGCCTGTTCCCTAGTTTCCTCTAATCGTCCTTATAGCACAGCATGGTAATACCGCATGTTCAGGATCTGCAAAATTCTTCGCCAACTTGTACGCGACTCATCCATTGTTCCCTGCACATCCATGTTTTCAGTGTCATGAAGTGCGTCTTCTGATTTTTTTTTCGGCTGCAAATATCCGCGAACGCGTTGAACGCGAAGCGTGCCCTGGCTCGATACTCCTTTGGATTCTCCCCTGGGCCAGAACCTTCGCATTCAGCCTCGGCTCCATCATTGCTGTCACTTTCATCCACCTGCCTTCACCTTCTCGATGGGAATGAGGTCGAGGTTGCGCACGTCCTTGAGGTTGGATGCACAGACCAGTCATGTGCTTGAAGATCGTTCCGAAACCCTCGCAGTCCCTCTCGGTCTCTACGAAGCATTGAGGATGGAAATTCTAGAACAACCACCGCCCATGCCCATCCAAGTCTTCACTCTCGAAATCCCCAGCACCGCCAGCTGCATCGAGGAAACTCTGCACTGCAGTTCTCCTCGAATCATCGAAGTAATAAATTCTCAGCCAGCTTCAGGTAGTAATACACTCTGTGTTCATCCACATCATCTTCCATTCCAAGATATCTCATCTTTGCTGCCATAATGAACTTCACTGCCAAGATCTTGTGTTGGAGCAGCAATTGGGCGTCCTCTTCACTGTCGGGCACCAATGGTCGCCTTGAGCTTGACGATGATCCCCTACCTTGTCCAGAAGGCACCATAGGTCCAACGATGTAGATGAACACCAGGAAAGATGACGATGAACACGATATAGGACACACATGTAGACGAAGCCCAGGATGTACACACTGACATTGACGTTGTTTCAGGTTTCCCCTCAGTGTTCTCAACGGCGGCCTTGCAACATGTGTCATCCGCAGTCTCTCAAACCCTTGATCACTTTCACAAACTCCGGGCATGATGCCGATCAGCTTGAATACGCAGCTTCTTGGTTCCTAAATCTGCTGGATTCTGTTCTGTTCAGATCTTGCTCAGTGTACGGACCCTTTTCCTTAGCAACTATTGCAGAAACACACCGCGAATCTCGATGTGCTTCGTTCGACCAACTCAAACAATCTAATGTTCACATGCTCGGTCTGTCCTAATGTTGACAGTCGGCCAAGAAAAACAGGCCTTCTGGGATCGCTGCGTTGGCTGCGTACAGCTCAACCTCACATGAGTTCAAGGCTATTGATTGTGGCTTGGGTCCTTGAGAAACTCAAAACATAGGTATCACTCAGGAATAATTATTGCTGAGGAACTTCAAGCCCTCCGTGAAGAATCTGCGAGCACATCCACATTGAACATAGATCGCCTCTTCCAGTCTTCCCCAAATGGTTCCATGAAATCACCTCGTTCGACCCATCTGTCAAACACATTCTCATGGGTTTCACATTGTTGTAGCAGAACTCCACCTTCTTCTGTCCGGTAAGGCGCTAAATGACAAACTGCAGACATCGCTTCCTCACATGGTCTTGACATCCGCCTGGATAGCACCTTTGTCGCAAAACCAAATTCTGGTCGGTCTTGGGCTATGTAAAGAATCAACCCCAGTGCAGGGCGAATTTTTGCAGATTCTTCTTCGCCAAGTAATCCTCAAAGTTGTTGATCTGCCTGGTACGGCTCAAGTGTAGGATGGTGCGGTAGCCCTTTGAATCTGCGCTTCCTCAACTTCAGCAGCTCCGCAAACTTTGGGATGTAGGCTCCATTTGCTTGAATGAATGCTCCTTCAGGTAGAAGTGAAATATACACTTTTTCAGATAGAGCAACGTTTGGCCTGATGCCTGGGCATGAGGCCCATCCAACTTGATCGTCAGATCCCTGGTCACATCCCCTTGAACCACTCGAAGTCATTCTTAGAATCGACAACGAAAAACATCATGAGCGACGTGTCTAGTCAGGTAAATTCTTTTGTTGCTGTTCGCAAGTTTCACTATTGTTGGGCTGCCAGCATAACAAAGTCCCGCTGTTTCACATCGGTTTCGGAAATATTCGAACCAACGGAATGCTCCATGTCCTTGGCCTGGCAAGCATTTCTTCAACAACAATGCATTGCAGTCACTCTCAGGATCCAGGTTACCTCAGGTTCTAGGTCCATTCTAGAACCATGACATACATCACTTCTTGCTGTGGAACCTTCAGGTAAGCGTCTTTGACGTCCACACTGCAAACATCCAAATTGGAGCACATGGACATCACTAGCAATGGGTGCTGCTGCACTTGTAGGAGAGAAGCTTGCTTCATCTGTCCGCTGGTTTGCACCGAATTCTCGCGCCACAATGCGAATACTCCTTCTCCAAATTCCTTCTCTAAAACGGCAGTCCGTTGCAGTTGCGGTGTCGACCACACATTCCGACGCCGCCTCGTCATTGAAGTTCACCTTCACTGGTTCAATCACATCCAAGTCAAATAGTTTCTGGACTTCTTCCAGGGCTGCTACTCCATCAAGTTCTCGTAGTTTTTCCCTCACTGACATTCGGAGGTCCATCACCTTCTGCTCTTTGATTGATCTCTTTATCCTCGCAGTCAACATGTTGGGGATAGAGATTCCATCCTTCTTCCAAACCAAATTCATCGTTGTGACATACCTCAACGTTTGCCACCATTCTAACTTCTAGCTTGGCCAACTCGCAGGTTCACCCTGAGTTGTTACTTCGTGTTTTTCACCTTTCATTTTCTCTACGTCCAATTCCATGCCTTCTGGTGGTAGAGGAAGTACAGGGCTCCAAGTTCAGTAGCACGGTGCCTTTGAAGCTCTTGCTCTTGAAACTCCTCAATCTCCACATCGTCACCTATCTCTACTCCTCCTGTTCCAGCTTGCCGCGCTTCTGCAAGTGGATTTGCTATAGAGGCTGTAGACGGTGCATACAGTGAAGATCTTGGGCTTTCCCCGCCTGACTCAGAGGGCAACTGCATCCGCATCAAGATCTCGAGCAGAGGTGTAGGCGGCGGTGGCTCGTAAAGGTTGAACCTTCAAAGACGAATGGACACTATTGGATCAAGTACTTAACGCTTACTGGATACGAAGTCACAACGCTTACTGGATACGAAGTCCTTAGTGCCGAACCCTGCCTCGGTGAGTTTCTTAAGCGTGACTGGCATTGCTGCAAGGAGGTTTGCTTCACTTTCATCCTCAAACGCTTGGTCCAACGGGGCATCCAAATCCTGAAACCACTGGCCAATTCAATTGGCCGGAAGGAGCACTCTGGGCACCATGCCTGACATGTGGTCTAGGAGCAAACAAGTGCGGAGCACCGGTACACGAAAGCCGCGGCAGTTCTTGCGTGCGCGTGCTGTGTGAAGTTACCAAACCCAAAGCGGTTTTGTTTAACCCAAGTGACCAACCACCAGTCGCCAGCAACCTCTTTCGCT